GTTTGTTCAGGCCTTCGCCTCCTCCGCCCTGGCTTGGTCTCCTGACGGTCGAGCTTTGGCTGCCGCCGGCCCACACGGTGTTGTAGCGTCCCAAGCCCCCGGACAGGCGCAGGACTAGATTCTGTGTTTCCTGCGACCCCTTGCCGTTGCAGTTCTTAGGTTCATATACTTGGACCACACAGTGCACTTATCGGTGAGCAGGCGGACGGCTCCAAGCTTCGAAGTTTCGTTGGTTCTCTTGTCTGCGACTAGTCTTGTTGAGTCTGTGTCAGCTTGTGAACGTAGTCTGGTGCAAGCAGGGCTGCCAATTTGGCTTGCAGCCCATGTGAACACCTCCGCTCTTGTATGTTGTTTTCACATTCGCAGTTCGAAGTCTAAGCATGCCTCCACTTCCCGAAGTAAACGCTTCATCCCGGCACTCGTGCAAGACATGAGTCAGTCACAATTGGCATTGGGAGACGCTTGTTGCATGTCAGTGTGATTTCCGGAGGTACTTCCCAGCCAGTTCACGCGCTTGCAGCGATGGTGCACCGGAGGCAACTGTCACATTATGACTCACTGTGACCAGCAAGTCGTGCAGGCTTAGGTGTAGATGCAGACTGTAAAGTGCCCATCGTCTTCGAAAAGATCAGGGCAAGTGTGCAAATGCCATCTCACATGAGGTCTGGCAAAGTGTATTGCATGGTCCCCGGATGGTGCCCTGCTGGCAGCCTCGGGCCAAGATTTCCCCACTTGCCAATGCCGTTCTAGCGTTCGAAGGGCCTGGGTCTTTGTCTAAAGGTTCTGCACCTCCAAGAAGACACGGAGCCCTCCGTGCGGCTTTGGAGCACTCGAAGCTGGGAGGTGCTAGACGGAAGCAGAGGTTTTAAGGGACATAATTGTGAATATACATCTCAATAATGAATACGTAAGTATACACGGATAGTTACACATAAATAAGTAGAAATCGAAGCAGGAAGTTTCATTAGCTTAAAGCTTTTCGTTGCCTACTAATTTATTCAGATACTTAACTAGCCGAATATTCATGTATATATGTATATATGTATGTGCCACAGTGTTCTTAAAATATACTGTGCTGCATACTATGCGAAGAACGATACGACAGGATACGGTACTATGATACAGTATGATGCAATGCAAATAGTATAGGACAATATTACAACACATCATGGTACAATGTGTACTGTGCTATAGTATGCGTTTTTGTAGTCGTAATGTTGTAAGAGTAGAGCTTCATGTGTTAGACTATATTATAGGCTTCCAGATGCCGGCCTGGTGCCAGGTGGCAGCCGTAGTCGGCCTGGGCGCGCCGCGGCCGTCAGGCTCTGAACTAGGCCAGCTGCTTTCGAGCAAAGGGGCACACACTGAAACATGCCAGAAGAAAGTTCATGATAGTGGAGTATACCAGCAAGATAGCAGAATATAGCATAGTATAGCATGCATAGTATATCAGAGCATCGTATAACATCATTGAATATGAGCATCACCAGGTAGCACAATATAGACATAACATAACAGAACAGCATGTAATGAAAGGATTGTATACGAAGAGCTTGCAATATGTATGTGTTACACGCACATTTTGCATAAGCTAACAGGTGGTGTGCAAGATATAAGATGCAGGATATACGGTGTGATACATAAATAGCGCGACATATCTTATGCATCAGGCGGCAGATAACACATAATGTATGATACATAATATCGAATATCAGCGCTAATTACTTACTTAAAATGCAAAGCGCCATCTATGTGTCTATATCTGGTTGGATCACCCTCGTTTGCCACGCTATCTTTACCGACAATGCTGGAAAACATGGCAGGACCGATACTTTCGCATGTTAGCCTGCTTCAACATGACGTCCGCTTATGATGATATCTGCAGCAGGGCTGCGGCAGAAAAGACAAAGAAACGATGTTTCTGTACCGCAACAATGGCTGAATCTGAGAGTGAATTGTAACTCAATGGATGGCTTGGTCGTAAAGTCGTTGCCATGTAACATGGACGTTATCACGGTTTGGGCATGGATGCACTGGCCAATGGATGCGTTTGCAGCATGGACGCTATCATGGTCTGGGCATGGATGCACTGTGCAATGGATGGGTTTGCGGCATGGACGTTTTCACGGCTTGGGCATGGGTTGATAGCTTGGACGCTATCATGGTGTGGGCATAGATGCACCGTGCGCTGGATGGGTTGGCAGCATGAACGTTACCCGTTACCAAGATTTGGGCATGGATGCACTGCCCAACCAATGGATGGGTTGGTAGCATGGACGTGGGTACACATATATGTATAGAGTAGACAATGTATTCCAAAAAAGTAGTAATCACATTCAACAGTCAACTTGTATGGCTGGCAGACAATAAGCATACATATACATATATATCTAGTTTTGAATCATGGGTAGCAGCACATGAGTATGTGTGTATATATATGTATAACTATACACATAAGTATGTGTAAATATATCATAGCACGTATGAAACTTAAAACAGATGCGAACATGAAGTCATGTCAAATCTGATGTGTAACACTTAGTACAGAACGCAAACAAGTATGTACTACAGCAATGCATCAGAAGGTATAAAACATGTGACAAACAATGCATTCTACATGCTTTACGGTGCGTAATATGCTTCCACTCAATATAAGAATAAAGTTTACAATCCTAATACACATCGTGTCACGCTGCATCTGTATATATATATATATATATATATATACTGACATATATATATATATATATATACACACATAAACATATGTACTACTTCTTGCAATGAATATTGTTTATTCTACTGCACATTGTGTAAGTCGTTGTGTGCCAAATATTACGCAGAGCTTTTAGCACACAGAATGCAGCACATAACATTGAGTACATAGCATGTAGTCGGCGATATGTGGAATAAGTTAGTGTGTTAATATGTGTGTATATATGTATTATGCATACGTGCATGTGTTCGTGCATATATATATATATGTATATGAATTATATATGTATTTAAGTATATGTGTGTATACACTGTAACATATGTATGCATGTATGTATGTATGTATGCATGTATGTACGTGTATATGTATGTATATGTATATGCATTTTGCACATCTGTACATACTCGATGGAATATCTTACCATGGACGAGCTCGTGCAACCGAGAGGGATCTTGAGAGCCCCATGGTCTCTAAACGAGGCGGCTGCACGGGGTCTCAAGTTTTCATGTCGAGGCCACGATCGCCCGAGCGCCTCTTTATTTCACAGTATCTAGAGCATCGAAAGGCAGATGTCCGAGAAGGATTCTGTCGAATAGATCGGAGGTGCGTCGCTGGCGTGGATGAGCTCTGAGCTGCTGCTCGCCACCGCGTCCCTTCACCTCGTTGAAATTGCAGTCCGAGGCCCGCATGGGTGGCCCTGCCATGAGCTTTCCAAAAGCCTCTGACTGACGGTAGGAAGGGTCTTAATTTCAGGCGGCGCTGCATCGAACATCGGCGCTGCTCGCCTTGGCGAGGCCTACGGGCCCACGGCCTGCATGGCTCCGACATTTGCACACCCTCCTCATGTCCCTTGCGATCTGCAGGACACTTCAGGCTTCTTTGCAGTCGGCTCGGAGCCAGGCGTCCGCGTCGTATCACTTCCCGGCCAGGCGAGTGCAGTTCAGGCAGCACCTCTGAGCAGTGTCTCTACCTGGTTCAGGAAGCGCGGAGAGTGCTTGAAGTGAGCGTCTGCCCACGCTCAGCGCAGCGGCTGGCTATTCGCCTAGAAGGTTGCAGAGAGGCGCCAGGTTCGCTTGCCATGTGTAAGTTCTGAAGCACGCCCCTTCGTGACAGGTGCTGGTTTATGAGCGTCCGACTTCTGGTTTGGCGGGCTGGTCTCATCGAGAGCAGCTCGGTTCATGCGATGGCGGCGGTAAGACTCGATGGTCCACTAAATGCTTATTCTAGCAGAAGGCGCAAGTCATGGGATTCCCTTCTCAGGCTGAGCCCCTGTGGCATCCTGGCCGCCGAGGGCGCAGCGCCTGCTGCTCTTGCCTTCGCCGCACATGCAGTGCAGCGAAGCGGATCAGAAGGTGAGCGCTGCAACACACATTCCCAGAAATGCCGATGTCCCCTCGGCTGATCTATCCCTTGCTCTTGCAGGTTCGCTGCTTGCCGTCTACTGGTGTTTGGACAACGGACAGCATGAGGTAGAAAGAGACGTTTCCGAATTTTGGGATGACAAGCGGAAGAGGGTGATTGTCCAGCAAGCAGACTGCCGCAGGTCTTTGATTTCTGTGCGTGGCGCAGGTGCGAACCTACCCCATGCACTTCATCCCGGCACAGATCTTGCAGACCAGTACTGTCGGTTCCTAAGCGACGCCGGTCTGCCACAGACCTGTGTTCCGCAGTCCCTCCTGTTTTAGCCTGCTGCGCCAATAGCAAACTTCTCCAGGGCGCCCGTTTCTCCCTCCCCAAAACCGTTCGGATGATGCAAACATGCCGCGGCAGGGTGCTTTCGGCCTGAGATCTGGAAGCGCAGTGCAACAAAAGCCAGGCCTTTTGCGACACGGCGAGGGCAATTAGAGAGCAAGAACGCAGGTATCGCAGGAAGCAGGGTGACAGTCAACTAAGTCCTACCACATCCAACACTGAGTCCATCTCCGCTTCCAGAGCACCTTTTATTGCAGAGTCTTGAGCACTGCGCTCTACCAAGGCCGCCAACGCCCTCTTCTGAATGAGGGCCGGTGTCCGGGAGAAGCTGCCCAAAAAAGAGACCTCATGCGATCTCGCTTTGTGGCTTCGTGGCTTCGTGTTCTTGCATCATGCAGAAATACAAGAGCTGTTTGCCCTGGTTGCAGCCTGTGCCGTGTGAGACAAGAGGTGCTGCAAGAACGCGGTAGCTGGTTCGACTGCAAAGCTGATGAGGAAAACCAGGCGAATAAGACTGACGCTGCCGCAGGTGTACATCGAGTAGCTATACGGCATTGTCATCACGGTAGGTGCATGAAACGATCACACTGGCATGGCTGCAGTGGCTTCTGCACAAGACGAGGACATCCCGCAAAAGCCCGGCATATGAAGTTGGGGTCAATGCACTCTCCACCGGAGGAGGAGACCTTTCTGGCAGTCTTTCCAGATTCCTCGAAGCTTGATGCCCCTTCGCCTGAGCTGATGGGTTGTAGCAGACCTTGAAGAGACATTACGGCGGAGTAGGGCGGAGATGGACGGAGCATGGCCATAAGGCCTATGGTATGGCTTTAGACGACATTGGGGTCTTCGAGGCGGCTGGCTTCCAGCGAGACCGCATCTGAGGGTAAACAGATGACAACAGCTGAAGAGTGTAGAGAGTCTTAGCGGCTTCTTGAAGAGGTCATGCTTGATTCTTGAATGCTCCAAGGATCAAGTTGGCATGCTGGCCACGTATGGTTTCGTTGACTTTCCAGGTGTGCGCACCTTGCTGCGAGGCCAGGAGTAGATCTGCGAATCCATGCCTTGATCACGGGTCCCACATGCGAGATGCTGTGTTCAGGCATAGCCGAACGCTTGCGTCCAGGTTGTGTCGACCTTCGTCAGGCTGGACAACTTCGCATCAGGTTGTCTAAGAAGCATCGTTAAGGAACCTGAGCCCTGCGACAAGGCTTTGGCCGGGATGCGCTTCCTGGATCTGGGCCCGGAGCTCTGCAATGCGACGCCTGATGCCAGACATTGCTCACCTTTAGCAGCTAGCAGACTCTAGCAGTGACAGTGACTCTTGCTTCGTCTTCAGGCTGCCGCACTCCCCGGCACTCGTAGCTCCTTCCGCTGCTGAGGTTCCGGTGATGGCCGTGCAGTCATCGGTGCCGCCATTTTGGCCCTGCGCCCTGAGCTTGGATGCGATGCGCCCTCACAGGATTGCCTCAGTTCGTACCAGGCGCCGACGTTGGTAGAGTCTTCCGGCGTCGAACTCTCTTTGCTGAGACCCTGGAGCCAGCCGCATGACCACATGGTCTTCTGCTTTCTGATTCTGCTCCGAGATCCCGGCACGAGCTGGCTATCCGAAACAGGTGGGCTGATCTTCTCAGTCAAGCATGGCCCCGATTGGCATTGCTTAACCGGGACCGGACCGAGCATTGCCCGCAAGGTGCCGACTCCCTCAAGGGATCCAAAACATTGTGCAGTTTCAGCAGATCGACATTCTGCAGGCCTGCTTGATGCGTCAACACTGCAGCTGTCGCATCCTCGGTAATTAGACCGGATCAGAGGGTGGGCGCCAGGGATGCCAGTTGCACGGGCACTTTTCACCAATCTGCCCTGTTGCTGGCATAGCCTGATGGAGTGTTGGCGCACTTCGCTCGCAGTCGGGTGGATCGGTGGGCCAGATGGCTCTCTTTTGTTGCGTTCTTACGTGGAGTGCCGTGAGTTCTACAAGAAAATGCACGAAGACATTCGTGTAGGGAGTAGTTGTGACTTCTGCATCGAAGACTGATTGGTCAATGTTCCGGACTGACATGCACGCTGACGGTTGTGTTGAATGAAACACGTTGCACCCTTCGCCGACGTTCGTGTGGGGAGTGTGCGTGAGTTCTGCATCGAGGACTGCTTGGTCAGAGAGTGTTCCAGACTGACATGCACCCATGCGTGAGTTCTGCATCATTGGTCAGAGAGTGTTCCAGACTGGCATGCACCCTGACGATTGTGATGAAAGAAATACGTTGCGCCCTTCGCCGACATGCGTGTGGGGAATATGCGTGAGTTCTGCATTGAAGACTGATTGGTCAGAGAGTGTTCCTGACTGACATACATGCCGACGGTTGTGATGAAAGCAACACGTTGTGCCCTTCGCCGGCATTCGTGTGGGGAGTATGCGTGCATTCTGCATCGTAGACTGACTGGTCGAAGAGTGTTCCAGACTGACATGCATGCCGACGGTTGTGATGAAAGAAACACGTTGCGCCCTTCGCCGACATTCGTGTGGGAAGTATGCGTGAGTTCTGCATTGAAGACTGATTGGTCAGAGAGTGTTCCAGACTGACATACACCCTGACGATTGTGATGAAAGAAACACGTTGCGCCCTTCGCCGACATTCGTGTGGGGAGTATGCGTGAGTTCTGCATTGAAGACTGATTGGTCAGAGAGTGTTCCAGACTGACATACATGCCGACGGTTGTGATGAAAGAAACACGTTGCGCCCTTCGCTGACATTCGCGTGGGGAGTATGCGTGAGTTCTGCATTGAAGACTGACTGGTCGAAGAATGTTCCAGACTGCCGTACAGGCTGACCTGTGATGAAAGAAACACGTTGCGCCCTTCGCCGACATTCGTGTGGGGAGTATGCGTGAGTTCTGCATTGAAGACTGACTGGTCGAAGAATGTTCCAGACTGCCGTACAGGCTGACCTGTGATGAAAGAAACACGTTGCGCCCTTCGCCGACATTCGTGTGGGGAGTATGCGTGAGTTCTGCATTGAAGACTGACTGGTCGAAGAATGTTCCAGACTGCCGTACAGGCTGACCTGTGATGAAAGAAACACGTTGCGCCCTTCGCCGACATTCGTGTGGGGAGTATGCGTGAGTTCTGCATTGAAGACTGATTGGTCGGAAGAGTGTGCCAGACTGCCGTACAGGCTGACCTGTGATGAAAGAAACACGTTGCGCCCTTCGCCGACATTCGTGTGTGGGGAGTATGCGTGAGTCGTTCTGCGCTGAAGACTGATAGGTTCTGAACTTGTGCAAGTCGTGGAGAGCATCAAGTAAGTTCTGCAATTCTGAGCTGTGCTTCTTGGGGAATCCCGCTTGGTCAGTGAACTCTGCTTCTTGCAGGGCAGGAATCTCGCTTGGTCAGTGAAGGTGTTGTGGATACGTCCATGGCAAGGATGAAATGCACACGCTGCGCCCTTTCCGACTGCACTTGTGCACGTCGTGGGGAGCATCAAGTGAGTTCTGCAATTCTGAGCTCTGCTTCTTTCAGGAATCCCGCTTGATCAGTGAAGGTTTAGTGGATACGTCCACTGCAAGGATGAAGTGCACACGCTGCGCCCTTTCCGACTGCACTTGTGCAAATCGTGGGGAGCATCAAGTGAGTTCTGCAATTCTGAGCTCTGCTTCTTGTAGTGCATCCCGTTGGTCAGTGAAGGTTTAATGGAAACGTCCGCGGCAAGGATGAAATGCACACGCTGCGCCCTTTCCGACTGCACTTGTGCAAGTCGTGGGGAGCATCAAGTGAGTTCTGCAATTCTGAGCTCTGCTTCTTGTAGTGAATCCCGGTTGGTCAATGAAGGTTTAATGGAAACGTCCGCTGCAAGGATGAAATGCACACGCTGCGCCCTTTCCGACTGCACTTGAGCAAGTCGTGGGGAGCATCAAGGGAGTTCTGCAATTCTGAGCTCTGCTTCTTTCAGGAATCCCGCTTGATCAGTGAAGGTTTAGTGGATACGTCCACTGCAAGGATGAAATGCACGCGCTGCGCCCTTTCCGACTGCACTTGTGCAAGTCGTGGGGAGCATCAAGTGAGTTCTGCAATTCTGAGCTCTGCTTCTTGTAGTGAATCCCGGTTGGTCAATGAAGGTTTAATGGAAACGTCCGCTGCAAGGATGAAATGCACACGCTGCGCCCTTTCCGACTGCACTTGAGCAAGTCGTGGGGAGCATCAAGGGAGTTCTGCAATTCTGAGCTCTGCTTCTTTCAGGAATCCCGCTTGATCAGTGAAGGTTTAGTGGATACGTCCACTGCAAGGATGAAATGCACGCGCTGCGCCTTTTCCGACTGCACTTGTGCAAGTCTTGTTCTGCAGTTCGTGCTTGAGCTCAGTTCAGTTTATGCAGGTCGAAATTCTGCTTGCAGCATGCTTTTCGTGAGTATTCTTGCACAGCCCTCTGCTCCCCAGATCAAGCGTTGCAGTAGGTTTTCTTTACAGCTGTCATCAGATTTGCTTCCCGTGCGTTGCGTGCGTGTTGCAGGTGGAGCCGACACGTCTGGGTGCCACTGAAATTGTGTGGCTGGCCAATCTGTTCTGGACTTAGGGCACCTGGGCAAAAACCAACTGCTTGCCTGTCTTCTGTCCGATGAGAGGCGTTTTCCAGATGAGACAGTGGAGGCTATCAACAACTACTTGGAGGAGCACTGCGACGCCCTTTGAACACTGTGTCGCTGAGAGGAGGAGGTCCGTCCTCCATTTGTCACATCAGCTCAGGTGCAAAAGAGGTAGATGCAGTCGCCAACAGCTCAGAAGCTTGTTTGTGTTGCTAGCCGACGTCCTGCAGAGGGTGAGGTGCAGGGGTGGCTAAGCGCATGTTCCTACAAGCGACAGAAGAGCTGGAGCAGGTTGCAACCCTTCGCAAATGTGCTTTTCGTCGCGAGCATGAAAGCTGGACGATGGAGGTGCTGTGAGAGTTGCAGGCTTCAGGCTTTGCTTTCTTGGGTGGATCTCTTGATCGCCCAGGTCTCCATGAGTTGGAACCCGGAAGGGTGGCCAGTCTACTGCTACTACCTGCCGTGCACAACAGGAAAAACGCATCTCTGCTGTGCGAGACGGTCAGACCGAGTAGTTGAGTTCGGGGAGATTGCAGCTCACTTGATGCACTCGAACTCAGCTGTTCTGCAAGGCAGTGGGGAGAGCCACAGTAGAAGCAATACAAGCAAAATATAGCAAAATGTGAACCATGCCGAGCACCTGGGTAGCAGCGCAAGTAGTGACACAGCGGACATCGACATTTGAGCAGATCGTCCAGAGCCGAAGCCGGAGTGCTGGGACCTGAGGAGTTCCTTTGCAGAGATACCACAAAGAGTTCTAGACAAGGCTCTGCTCAATTCGGGGCATGTGGACTTTCCTATCACCGAGGGCTCGATACTCGAGGTAGTAAAGGCACCCTTCCGAAACAAGGCCTCGGTTGCATACATCAGAAGGAGCCGAGAAATACTTCCCTCGGCTCCAAGAATTAAGAATGCAGTGATCCAGGTGGACATGGAATCGCTTGCTTTCCTGACTCCAGTCCTGGCAGGAGTGCATCCTGCTTGTTAGTACACGTGTGTTGCAGGGGATCCCACGCAGCTCTCAGGAGCCGGTCCAGCAGCTTCATCTGCTGTGCCAGTGCGCAGGACGCAGGGACAGCTACGGAGGCAGAAGCTAAGTGGTGACGAGTTAGGGACGGGATCACAGTCAGCCTATCACCGGCTGGTGAAGGCCCGTGCAGAGCTCCTTCACTGCAGCGCTGGGCGTGCCCCTGGTCATCCTCGCAGTCAGGTGGCAGACTCGGCTGTCATACAGCACGTTGCAGAACGATGTAGGTTCGATGTGAAGCAAGCGGCTAGAAGGCAAAGATCCGGCAAGCGGGTCGCAAGACGGGCGACCGTCTTCATTGACGGAGTCGGCCTTGCCATGTTTTAGTAACTTTTGGCTGGAGCAAGGTTTCTGAGAGCTCCTGCAGTTTCAGAAGCACTCCTCGCAGGAAGCCGGGACGACTGGACTTCAGGCCATGGTGCTAACACTGTGCGAACTCATACTGTCTTCCATTGTCTACTTGTACTTGTAGCACGGGGATCAAGAAAAACACAGGATGCCCACGATTTTCTTCTTCGTACATGAAGATGGAAGCGCATACGGGATTCTGCTACATCCTCAAGAAGTCTGATCGCATCTGCATTTCGTAGGGGTTAGTGGGCAATTCGACTGTAGTATATCCAATGTTTGAGAGGGGGGCGTGGAAGCATGTTCTTGTGAGTTTCGGTTGTGAAATGACTCGGAGGTTCGAGAGCGCCTGGAGAAGCATCCCGAGATCCAGATCCTCAGCCTGGATGCTGACAAACGCAAGGACGCGATGCATGTGCCCTTCACAGGGCTGCGGTGCCAAGGCCGTCATGCTTAGCTATGTGAGAACCGGCCTGAAGGACGAGGATGCTCGCCGGGACGCCCTTCAGACGGCAGACGCAGCGGCACGCCCACTTCAGCTGACCGGGTCCTTTAAGTGCCCTCGGCTACGAGCTTCAAAGAGAGGCCCATATTCTTGGCCAGGTGCTCTGCCTGCCTGACGATGCGGCAATAGCTGCAGTTGCATTAGCAGAGGGCCTGGGCCCAAGGAGTGAGCTGGAACGACGTGTGTCATAATGTGTCCATCTTGCACACCACCAGAGGCTCGAAGACCGTTATCGTCGATGCCAGTACTGCGCACAGAGTATCGGATGGCCCAGGCCTCAGACATGGATGATGGGAGTCCCAAATGTCAAGGCCCCGATCAGGAAAAAACAAGAAAACATGACATGTTGTTTGGAGCTGCCCTTCTGCAAAGACTCAGAAAGTGGCGTGTATGCTCGGAGGTTGGATGTATGGTTTTCCGGAGATGAGCGCCGAGCAGGCCTGGTGTCAGAAGTGTTTGGAGGTAGCCACCTGCAGTCTTCCTCGCAGGCCGAGGCGATCTCCACGTCCACTCGGATCGCGAACCCTGGCTGCTATCCGACAGGTCGGGCCATCTTGGGAATGGCAAGGCTCCCGACGCTGTTTGTGCACACTTTGCCTTGCCTTCCGGATCAAACATAAGCAGGACAATCCAAGCTGTGTCAGGCATAGTTAATTGGACTCCCCAGGTAGATTTGATTAACGGGGTCTATCTCAACAACCCGCCGTAACGCAACTCAGTGAACTCTTCAGAAGATACACGTCATGGCCACATCTGTCATCGATGGCGCCCATGATGCGATCACCGCCGGCGCAATTGGCGGCAAAGGAAAGGGCAAGATTCGGCCGCCGCCCCCTCCCAAAGCCAAAGCAAAGCCAAAGGCGGAGGGCTACACATCTCAGCCTCAGGCGCTCAAGACTTGCCGTTTGCATCATGTCTCGCGCTGTCTTGCCCAGAAGAAGCTGCCCTGCAGGGCGCGATTGACCAGCGGAAGATGCCTCCCCTGCCAAAGCCTGCAGCTGACGAGGCGCAGCCGGATCTAGGGGTTGTTTTTTGTCACCCTGCGCCGAAGTGTTTCTCGCCCTACAAGTAGCAGCTTCGAGATGTGCTTCGTTTGAGCGCACACACACAGAGACAGACAGACACACTTCCGCAGCTATCAGGGCCATCAGTCCGTCAGGCACTTGTCAAGATCGCCAAGCTGCAATGTGACGACGGTTCGTGGCATCTCTCCGATGAGCTTGCGGCAGCGTGTCTCAGTCGCATTGCAAGCACTTTGCTGGTGCAGGCTACCTGCACAGTGATGAACTTGTTGCTAAGCCGTGCAGCCGTCGTGATGCCTACCGTCTTTCCCCTGAGCCTGTCAGGCTGGGACTGCATCCCTCGGCATTGGCTTTGTCGCCATCACCGGCAGCTTCCGTTCCGAGTTGGGATCGCCTGGTCGCCACGTCCACGGCCAGACAGGCAGACCGCAGGGAGTTTCAAGATATTTCAACTGCTTCCACTTTGGAGGGCAGAACGTTCATCCCAGGCCTTGGAGCGGTGCCGCTCCATTCTGAACGCACAGGGACATGACCGGGACGAGACACTGGAGGTGCTCCGAGAGGAAATGAGACGAGGTGTGCGCCTGATAAGAGGGGCCAGTCATCCCCAGGTGGCACGTGCAGCGTCAGTCCTGGGCGCGAAGCTGCTGGACGCCGCCATTGAATATTTGGATGCCAGATGGCAGGAGGCCAGCTTCCGCTTGTAGATCGAGTGTCGATGCACGCAGCTCTGCGTCTCGGCAGGTTTCTGAGGCGAAGCACCTGGTCCACCTTTATGCTCGTCAGCGGCACGGGCTAGACAGGGACATTACGAAGCTGCTCGACCAGCAGCTGCCAAGACCCGACTGGCAGGTCAGGGCCCAAGGGCGGGCTGTGCATCGCCGTGCATCGCTTTGCCATGCTTTGGCCCTCACTCCCAGGCGCAGCTGAAGGCCAAGATGTCGGTGCAGAAGACCTGTAACTCGGGCCCCTAATTCAGCTCCAGGCCGGCATCTCTGGAGGCTTCTGCTTCGCAGGGTTTGCCCGAGGTGAGGTCTGTGGAAGTACCTACACGGCAGCCGTGCCCTGACTCCGTTGGCTCCCAGGGGACGATATCTCCGGATTGCAGATTGTCCTGCCGGTTTAGTGAAGCTTCACTTCGGGACCACATCGAACCGTCCGTTGAAGCTGTTGGGAGTTTGAGAGCATCGCAAGCTTGCTTGATTTGGGCTCCAGATGGCACCACGTCCGATAAAGTCTGATTACACCAAGTCCGTTGAACCGCATCCTCCTTGTGTACTTGTCAAGTCCACCAAAAAAATCTAAGCTCCTGCGACTCCTGCTGTAGATGCTTGAAACCAGGAAGGGTGGGTTCTGTGACTCGAGTTGCCCAAGAGAACATTCCGGTAGCCCGCCAGGTTGCGAAATGCTTAGCGTGCTTTCCACCTGAGCGCCCGGCCGAGCCGGAATCTCGCCTCAAATTTGTATCTACACCCGCGACTCGCAAATTCAGATGCAGCTCCGCAGCTGTCCTACTGGCCAGGAAGCTCGAAAGGAAGATAGCTTGCACGATTGGCAGAAACTGACCTCCGCTCCGGTCAATGCGACCTTGGACTGGTCACCTGAAGGACTCCACGCATTGCATACCATTGCATTCTGCAGCTTCCCTTGCCGGGTTTTATGTCTGACTTCTCGGTGAGGCATGAAGCCTTGCGAAGGCGGATCTGGTGGAGTCGCCCTCTTCAAGCTTCCTCAGGGGGTGGTTGTAGTCAAACCGCAGAGCCCTAGCTTGCAAGTCTGATATCCCCACCAACCAATCGCTCTGATTTGGGTTTCTTCTGATGGCAAGGAAAATGACGGCCGCTGCAGAATTTCTAGCTATTCAGGCAGTTGAGCTGCACTTGGCTGAGAAACTTCCGTGGTTGCTTCCTTCAGGGTTGTTGTGCTTGAAGGTGTAGACAGGTGAGAAGCAAGGAGCGCTAATGCACCTGAACTTCCTCGACGGGGTTTGTAGCTTCATGTCAGCTAGTTGAAGGTGCTTCGGATTTGAGCACTTCCTCAGTCTCCGCCTCAATCAGATGTCATCAGTCTTGCCATCACCATTCTCATCAGCAATGGCGCGCGGTGTCGAGTGTGCAGATGCGTAGATGTATGTCTTTGATCACACCTCCAACCTATGCTTTTGCTTATACTTGTGTAAACCAGGCAGGAAATATGTGCACTGAGAAGGGAAGCGAATTTTTGCCTCATCTTTCCGCCTACTACATATTTTTCTGCCTTTTTGTCTGTTTGTCTGTCCCCCTGCCTGTCTATCTATGCATGTATGCATGCATATCTCGAAGCGACATGCAAGGATGCATTCGTATACGTCCTGCATGGCACTAATGCATACTTGTATCGGAATGGAAGCAGGCACGGCTGATTGGCACATGCTTCTCGCCCAAACGCTGCAGGTAGCTAAAACCATTGCAGTCCCTGTGGCGGACATCCGATCCTCTGCCCAATCAAGTCAGACGCTTTTTATCATCAGTTTGTCCCGTCAATTTCAAGATTGCAGCATCCGCCCAAGCGGGTGTATATTTTCTGCACATGTCCCTGCCGCGGATGGTTTAAGAGTGACTCCGGCCCAGGAGTGGTGCGCTGGGTGGATGCAGAATATGCAGCGATTCGTGACATTCTCCGGAGCTTCGGCCTTCTCCAAACAGAGTGTTGCTGCACACGCCTTTTTGTTCTCGCCGCAGCGAGCTGCCGGAGCATCAGCCTGGTAGAAGTACTGGTGGTGCTGGTGGTGATGGCGGTGGTGCAGTGGTTGTTGTTGCCGTCAACGCGTTGCCGTCAGGCACGTTGTCACGTAGGGTCTCTGGCAGTCTATGGTAGGTATCAGGTCTTTCTGTACACCACAACACTGACTGAGCCTTGTTTGGTTACGCCAACAAACTCGTCAAAGCAGGAGTGCTCCTCCGGGCAAGGAGCAGGACTTGACCATGCTGGCCCTCAGATTGTAGCCCAGCGTGCAAGTGGACGTGCGCTGTAGCATGCTGTGGCCATTCGTGCGAGTAAACCATCCGCACGCAGGCAGCACCGAAATTCGGAGTTTTTTGGTATTCTGGCTGCTTGGACTGCACCTCCAGAGTGCAGCAAAGCCAAAGCATGTGAGTCCGAGATGCGACTATCCTGAGGAATTCGTCCCTGGCATTGGGGTCCAGGGTCAAGAACTGCATGAGCGACTGGAAGAAGCTCGGCGAAAATTTACATACAGAGCAAAGGACAGGAGGCGAAGGCACCTGTGCGAAGCCAGTTCAGGCCATGGCGCCCGACAGATTGGATTCCTTTTGGTATCAGGCAATGGTCCGGAAATTGGGAGAATGTGGCACATGCAGAGTAATACGTCGAGGTGAGGTGAATCTGGCTGGAAGAACAAGCATTCGAATCGGTATAAGTGCTCTTAGCCAGAAACGTTGCTGTTGAGCTTGCTGCAAACAAGTTCAATGAACAGATTGCGTTGCGCTCTCTGCTTGGATGTTTGTTCAGCGGCCGTTGTTTTTTTTGTGATGTTGTTGATGGCTTGGCTTGGCCTGGCCTGAAACCTTTTTGAACTGCACGGCTTCTGTTTATTTCTAATCGACAGCTATCCCCCCCTCCCCCCCACGAATCCCCGATTTTGCTCCGTGATCTTTCACATGACTGTCAGCCATCAATGCCTCCAAGCAAGAGTAGGCGGGATCTGCCGCGTGTTCGCAACGTTGAACGATGCAAGCCCCAAAAAACTGCACAAGATCGATGCGCGAATGAAATTGGCATCACGACATGCGCACTGGACCCAGTGATGTCGGAGTAAGTAGGAAGCGTACAGTTGCCTGTGAAGCGGGGTAGGCAAACCTGTCGTCAAGCCGTGCCGAAACGCCACCCAGGATGTTACTTAAATCAAGCTAGTTCCAGACCCGCAAGCCAAGCCGCCCCACAGAGCAAGCCGCGCCGCAGCATGGTCAACGATTGGCTCTTCCTTCCGTGATGTTATTTTCATGTGTAGCAGGTTGGAGAGATTGTTGCATTCGATGCCCTCATCAACAACCTTGATCGGGTCCCACTTGTTTGGGACAACGAGGGTCGGAGCCTCATTGGCCGGGGGTTGCGCTCGCGGAGACGACTTGGACTTAGGCAACACTGCTAACTTGATGCTGCGGGAGGACAATGGAGGAGTTGCAGTGGTCGGCATTGACCAAGCTGTGACTGCCATTGTTGCTGAAGGCCATGGCGATGAAAGAACCGCAGTGCTGTTCTGCCGTGGATCAGCTGCCCTGCAGGTCCGGGACGAGAGCGATATGCAGCTCGGCTGCGGGTCTTGGCCGAAGGCGTCTTCACTGGGTCCTGGAAGGAGCAGGAGGCGTCGCAGGCGGTGTGCCTTGCCGTAGCGACCCAGTGGGATGGCTGTGCCTCTCGCAGTTTGCGCAGGTGCTGCCAAGCACGACTCGCGGAGGGACATGGTCTATTGGCACTGGCATGGCGCACGTCACCGAGTGCTTCCAGAGCCCAAGTTGCATTTGCGAAGTTCGAGCCGCATTACAACAAAATACATCTTTCGTCCTGTCCAGAATCCAGAGCAGAGCAGAAGGTTATGCTGCGGTGCAACGGTCCATTGGGAAGCTTTTATGGCCGGCCTTCGATTCCGGCTGAATCACATCGCAGACCTGGCAGATGCTGCCTGCATGCAACTGTTAGCCTTGCGGACCGTTGTCCCTTCTGGTTCTTTCTACTCCCTCGAGGATGGTCGCACAACGTCGCATGCAACTGTTGCAAGTTTCGCATTACTTAGGAACATAGGAGCGAAACTTGCAGCTTCCCTTCGACTCTAGGGGAGTAGTCTTTCAGAACATCAGAAACTGATTTCATGACTCGCAACATGCCTAACTAATAGCTCAATTCCTGCTCAGGACGGCTCCTTGGGCACGGCGCTGGATGAAGCCACCGCCGCAGCCGACCAGGCGAGCCTCGAGCCTGGACTGGCCTAGACTTCGACTGCGGAAACTGCTAGGCTTAGCTCCAGCCGCCAGGGGCGGCGCGCATAACACTTTTCCACGTGTAACTCTGTGTGTGCAATATCGGTCCGTCTATGTGTGTGTGTGTATCTGTATATGTGTATACGTAATACGTATATGTGTATGTGTGTATATATATTACTATATATATATATATATATATTATACAGTGTATGTACATTATGAGCATCTGTCTGTCCGTATTTACATATACGTATACACACAGGCTTGCATACACGCACCTACCTACCTACCTACCTACCTGCCTACATGTATACATATATACATATATACATACCTACATAGGTACATAAACGAGCAGTAAAGACAGCTCAAGACAAAGACAAACGTATATGTAGTCAGAGAGAGAGGTTGGGTGCACATTGAACGGTTTCGGAGCTTGTGTACATGTACATATGCACAGACACATGTTGCGTGCGTATTCCTTTTTCATCAAGAGGTGGATAGAGAGAGATAGGTATTCGGATGTAGACTCACGAGGCAGGCAGATAGATTTGTGTCGACACATGACACAGACGGAAAGAACTATAGTCAGTTTGACAGATAGATACTCAAATCGGTAGACAGATAATCATGTTTCGAATATTTCGTATGCATGCATCTATCCGGCAATCTATGTGTCTACTTCCCTATCCATCTGTCTATCTATCTATCTCTCTGATTGTTTGGCTGTCTGTCTATCTATTTTTGCATGTGGGCAAAGGTACATATGCAAAAATGTTTATGCGCGAACACATGTGCGTATATCTGCATATGTACACGTATATACTTGTCAGCTCGGTGTAGGATACTACTAGTAGATGGCGAGATGACCTCTTCCAAGTTCACGGCCCTGTCAGATCTTCAGAGCAGCGACTGTGGATGTTGGCTTCCGACAGCTCGGAAAGATGCAAGAGTTCTTGATTGAGATGGCATCCGTCATTGCGGAGACCAGGTCGCTTCTCTCGCTGATGTGCTGATGTAGCTCGACAGCGCATGCAACCGATCATGTGACGCTCTGGAGGCTGGCAGCAGCCAAAGACGCCACAGCCTGAGGAGTTCGGACCATGCCCGGAAACCCGGCAACAGGTGTGTGCTCGGCTGTTTGGCATCCATGGATATGTCAGAGTGTTTAATTTAGGGCAAGATAGCAGTTTGCTTCGGGATCTTCAACATCCCGGAGTTCCTGTGCCGAATCTTGGGATGCGGCCTTTCCTGCTGGGGTTGAGATGAAGACTCCCATACATGTCTTGGGCTCAACCCTTGTAGCTAGTTGTGTGAAGTTATGCATCCTGGAGCTGTCAACCGGTGGCCAAGATCTTGAGCCATACTTTCATAGGACTTTCCTCAGATCTTGGCTTCGCCTCTGCAGCTTCGCAGCCGGCAGACCTTTGTACAGAAACTGTGAGGTTCTGCAGCCTAACGAAAAGGAGTCAGTGTCAGTGCTGCAGTCCAGAGTCCGGCAGAAGACTCTCCGGTGCTGAACCGAGCCTTCTGCAGGCTTCATTGGCTTGATTCGGCGGGCTGCCCGGGCCGAGTGTCAGCGCAAAGCATCCCAAATCTGATTTGAAGCGGCCTCTGTCAAAGCTGCGGTGCGCGTTCTGAGATGAGGCCACTGGTAGATGCTGGACTTCTCCGAGCCGAGTCTGGCTTGGTGGTGCGACTGTTTTGTGTTCACCAATCTGCGAAACCAGACAATGTGATTCGGAGAGCCATTTTTGGTGGGATGGGTTTTGCGTCTTTTAATTGTTTTTGTTGGCGTCGCCTCCGCCCTCAGCATTTCTGCTCCTCCGCCGTCCGTCCTTACGGTCCTGCTGCGCTTTTCCGATTCTCCGTTTTCCCTGCCCCTCCAGTTTCGCTTCTGCGCTTTTCAGCTACTGGCTGCGCGTCCGCTGTTCTCAAGCTCTGATTATCTGCTTCTGCGCTTTTGCTTTTCCGCCTGAAATCGCCTGAATTGCTTTTGACTTTTTTGTCCCATTTTCTGCTCTCTTCCCGGCCCGCCTTTCTGCTTTGGCACTTTCGTGTGCGCAGCGCTTCTCCGTGTTTTAAGCTCGAATGCTTCGCCGCGCTTCCGGGTGTCTCTCGCTCCCAGTGCCTCCTTCTGCGCTGTTGTTTTTGTAACGCTCCGCTTCTCTACTTCTTTTGTTGTTTCCCGCAGTTGCTGCCTCTTGCTGCTCTGCTTTTCTGCTTCAGAGCTTGTCTGTGCGCCCTCCGCCGCCTTCTTTCCACTGCTCTGCTGCCCTGTCCTTCGCGCCGCTTGTTCGTCCTTCTGGTCTCATCCGGTCTCACACTGCAGCGCTTTTCTGCTTCTCTGCTTGTCCGCTGGCCTGCTTCGCTGCGCGTCTGGGCTTGTCCTGCTCCGATTTTCTCCTACTGTGCTGTTGTTTTCTGCTTCTCCGCCTGTCTGCTGCCACTCCCCCTTGCCACCTCTCTGCGATAACTGGCAGGAACTCAAGCTCTGTGACTGCTTCCTCCCGTTTGCTGGTGCTACTACACGGCCCACATGCTTTGCACGTGCTTTCCACCGAGTCTGCTGGGGCGGCCAAAACGCTTTCCCAAGCATTAGCGACTCATGGCGGATCCAGGATCATGCCAGAATGGTTTCCTCCAAATACTGGTGGACTTCAGGAGCATGGCTAAAGATGCTCGGGAACGCGAGAAAATCTGCGGCACCGCAGCAGGAAGCTCGTTCCAAGGAGGGCCTTGTCGTCTCGCGCTCCCACTGCCCACTAGTCACTAGTTTCTGTACTCGTGAAGCAACACAGATTTGAGAACGTGGCCCAGACGTGCTGCCCCAAGTAGCTGTACTGGCAGATCCCGGAGCACGCTTGCAGTAACCACTAGTCTCTGCAGTCTGGACGCAACCCCCAAAGTATTGCTACCGCCACAAATGCTTTGCCCGATCACTGGCGGTTCCGGGGCGCAGCCTGCAAGTGGTGGCGCATGTCAGGTGCCCAACCCACCCGCTCAAAAAACCAACACAGAGGCAAACCATTCAAATCTCCGACAGACGCTGCAGCCATTTGATTCCTCGTCAGGTACATGCTGTGAGCGGCTACTCTGGCGGTGGAAAGGCTGGGTCGCCTGTGGCATTGGGACGGACGGCATGATTCTACATCTTCGTGTAGGAAAACTATCTCACACACACACACACTTACATACATGCCGACATGCAACGCGAGCAAGGCGAATGCATGGCTTCGGGTTTTGGTGTGCTGGTGTTGGCAGCTGCCAGTCCTGGCTTTTCAAAACTGCTCAGGGCCTGATCAAAACCTACGAAGAGGAAGATCACGAGCCTTGGGGAGCGTGCCCACAAAGTTGCTTAGCTTTGACACAAGCTGTTGGGGAGTCTCTGAAGGTACGGCTTTGCCTTGAATCACAAGCATCTACCCGAGATGGCAAAGTGGACAGGCTTGCAGGAGGCCGGTCAAAAGACTGGACTTCCGGAACCAGTGCAGAGAGCCTTATGACACTCAGCAGCTTCGGCATTCAACTTTCCGCAACCCTGGAGGAACCCATCTTCTGCCCTGCCGTTGGGGACTTCAAGCAAGGAATGGTAGTGCACAGTCCCAAGCCGGAACATCTTGACATGACAGGGCTAGAGGCACTTGCGAACTGTCCACTAACCCAAGGTCCGTACCCCTGCGCTTCTCTCAGCTCCGCGCAGGCCGTTCGCACGGGAGGGCGGTTGAGGGCATCGGCGTAACGCAACCGAGCGCGCATCTGCGAGGAACTACAGCAGCAGACGTTCATGCAGCCATGGCTGCACACTACGACGGGAAGCAGTTTGTGTCCGCACCCGAGATGCATGCCTCCGATGAATGATCTTAAACATCGGTCTGAGACAAGGTCTGTGAAACCGCTGAATGACAAGGAGGGTATTCCCGGCCTGGATGTAGCCAGCCAGAATTTTTGCTGCACCTCTTACACTACAGACTGCTCCGCTGCGGAGTTTTGGCACAGCGTGTTCGAGGCATGATGAAGCATGTTAGCAATCGGCCTAGGTCGCCAAATCGCGGGTTCAAAGCCCGAAGATCTTGCATAGCAGCCGAGGTAACTCTCACACCATGTCCAGGACTTGCAGCGACACCCGCAATCCCAAGCAGAACTTGCGGAAACGACGGTTGAGGGATCGCAGGTAGAAAAATTCGTTTGCACGATGATCTGCTCCCCGTGGACATTCGCTCCGACGGAGACAAAGCCAGTGCCTGCGAGAGGGGCAGCACCTGCACGATGGGGCGCCGCACCAACCTGCGTAGCCATGAAGACCTGTCAAATGGCCCCTTGGTGTCAGAACCATGTGAGCTGAGCAGCTGGGCTTTGGAGTTTCTTGCTTTGTGTGCTGTGAGCCTGAAGGCACTCGCCGGCTCTGCGTTGCTCTTTCCGCGCCGCCTGGTGCGGCGTAGAGCAGTGGCTCGAGGCTCAGGAACTTAGAAAGGAAAGACGGTCAGACCGACCACTGGAAGACTTGGATTCCTTCATTTCCAGCAGCCAAGGTTGAGGGCGACGTCCATACAAAGGCAGTGAAAAAGTGGTTGGATTCCATGATCATCGGCATGAGCTTTTGCCCATGGGCCGGACCTGCCAGCGAGGCTTCCATCTGCATACTTCAGTCTGCAGTGATTTGGGTTGAGAATTGACATGCCTATGCTCCTGGCTCCTGCCTAGGCAGATGGAATTCGCATCGCCACGAGCATGGCAAACTCACCCGCGGCTGCATTCGAAGATCTGAAAGCCGAAGCCGCAAGGCTGCAAGGACTGGTGACTGGCAGCTTCTGGGATGATGTCTCAGTGTGTACAGTGTGTACTTGCTACAGCTACCAGTATCTACAGCTCGAAAGACGACTGCAATTGGAACCTGAAGTTGCAGCTCCCCGAGCCTACAGGAGCTCGGGATTCAACGGTGACCACCCTTCTCGTGTGTCCTTGCGTGGAGCCTTGGGATGACTTCGCGAACTTCAACGACTTTCGAGAGACCGAACTTCTGTGACTTGGCTTGTCGCGGAAAGCCAACTTGGGGCCTCAGGCAGGGATCGGCCCTGCTGGAACCAGTTTTGTGTGTGGCACATTCAGGAATGGGGAGGCCTTGGTGGAGGAATTCGGTTGCAAGGTGGTGTGCTTCCACCCCCACTCACGGGCTCCTTGTCAAAGGTCTCTTGAAGTTGTTGGCGGTGATGCATCCGCCCTGCTCATGCGGCTGCTTGAACCAAGGCATCTGACAGCTATGGCCTGCAAGAGGGTGATGACATCGTTATTCGCACAGGGGATGGTTTGGGCCCCGTGCTCGTGTCCGCATATACCGAGTTGCAAATGTGACAGCAGGTGAGCAGCTGTGTGGCACAGTTCTGAGCATCATGCCCGAGGGAGGGGACGGTGCCAGCAACTTGAAGGTTCAGTGCCCAGGCTTGCAATTTGGGGCAGCGCTTGTGTCTCTGCATCAGCATTGTCCGAAAAGCGTCCGCCCACACAGCCGTGCCCGAGGTTCTACGGCAAAGTTGATGAAGGCAGCATGATTCACAACTTCAGGTACGTGCAGCACACTACCTTGTTTGTGCTTGCTCCAGGCGATGCTGAAAACGGCGAGTTCGGCATGCAGCCCTTCTCGGATGCTGCAGATCGTGTTGAAACGGTCCCGGAACAAAGCGCGCCTCGCCCAGCAAAGTTCGTGATTCGTCACATCATATGATGAAGGCAAGGTGCAAGGAACGAGCAGGAGCAGCACCGCACTCTGTGAGAAAGCGAAGGAGGCTTGATGTTGGCTTGACAACCGTGGTGACTGTCCCGCATTCCGCCTGGTTCCTTTGCTTTCGAGTCTTGATTTGACCTGAGGGTTTTGGAAGGATGGCTAGAGATTGGCTTAAGGTTTCATGACGGCATACAGGCTTCGGCTGTGTTTTCCTTTGCTGCTTGATGGCAGCAGAGTTCTGCACTGGGCTTGCGTTGATGCAGTGTCTTGGTGTGGTTGTTGGAGACTGGCTGTTTCCGCCGCCAAGAATCGGGATTATGATTATGGGTAGTTAAAGGCAGGGTTGCGGTCAGCATGAGGTGCTTCAGCTGATTGGACGCGAAGCTCTCCAGGATGAGGCCGACCTCGCACCAGTTTCGCGTCTGCTCATTGTAGCTCAGCAAAAACTTGCAGGATGCTTGCCGAAGCATTTTGGGCCGAGCGCCTCGAATTGTTCTGCATCTTCTCCGTGCTGCAGATCTAGAGGCGGGCGAAAACCAGACGCTGGACTGGAAAAGAATTGCCAGACTGATCTGAATAGCGTCAGTGCCTGAGCTTCTGCAATCAGGCTGTCGACAACCAGAAGGCCGCAGCTTTGCAATTGGGTCTAAGAGGAATGACTTACGACAGACACGAACTGCCAGTGGTTTGGCATACATCAGCGAACATTGTCGCCAGTGCGACCTGCTCATCCAGGCCTTTGAGACTCTGGAGCGAAATGAAGAGGCCTTCGATGCAAATTCAGGTGACTATGTTTCTTTACTGAAGGCATGGCGCGCCTCGATTGCATTTGCGCAGGTTGTTGAAGCAATGGGTGAGGAAGAATTCGATCGGCGGGTGCAGGAGTGCGGTTAGAATGAAAAAGGTGTGCTTCCAGCATCCGGGCTGGTGGAGAAGCAGTCACGTCGCACATGAGCATGGTGCCTCGGTGTGGCCTGCCAGACTGCCCCAGGCATCGATTCAAAACAGACGTAATCGAGGTCTCGCATAAGATTTTCACCCAAAACGGGCTACTGTAACGATACGCTCGTGTTGGTGCTGCACTTTTGCCTGCGCTCGCAGCAGCCTCCCTCAGCTTGGGCATGCCAGCTTTGGAGCGCGGCGCATTCTTGCGGCCCGATGCCGTGAACGACACCAACAAGCGCGGCACCAAGTTGTTGTTCAAGTGCCTGCCAAGTTTTCTTTCAAGTTGTGGCAGTCAACATCTTCTGTGGAAAATGCACGGTCAAGCTGCACACATTCCATGCTCAATCCTTGGTAGCCGTTGGTCGCGCCTGTGATGCTGGCAACCGTAGCTTCACAGAGTTATGCTCGGGGAAGCTCAGGCTGGAGCTTTTCTGCTTTGCAAACGAGGACCTCGCACCGTAGGGCATTGCGCTTCAGCGCACTCGAAGTGGATGGAGCATTGAAGCGAGAGGACAAGCAGACCCTCTGGCTTGCCGCTCGTTTAGACAACCTGGGCAAGGCGAGTCAGAGTCAGGGTACAGGGACCTGTGAAAGTCGTGCCCGTTTTGGTGTATGTACAGCAGAGCATGCGGGGAAGCTTTTGGATAAGTCGTGCCCACAATGCTAAACGCCTAGTAAGTGCATGATTTTGCAAGTACGGATTGGTTCATGAGCATTGTCACTTGCCACCTCTTGGCTTAGCTCGAAACCCCGGAAGCGATTCAAGATGTGCCTTGAGCCACACACAGCCATAATGCAAAATTGGTTGAGACGTCCACTTGCTCTCTCGCTGGACATGCCTTCTGGTTCACTCTCAGGGCGCCAGCGGTGCGTGCGTGCAGAATTTGAACTTGGCGCTTGGTTTCCCGGAGGCGAGACATGTGTTGCGCCTGGCCTATGCTACCGGCACCCGCTACTTAACGTGGCTTCACAGCGACCGATTCAAAGCCGGTCCATGCCGTTGCAGGAGACAGGTCTGTGAGGTCTCAGAGGTCAAGAATTCAGTGACTGAGCGGGCTTGTAGCAGCGGAAGACTCGGAATGGCACAGCTGGAGGCAAGTGCCCATCATTTCGTATTTTCATCAAATAGTTAAATTTTTAACAGTTATCGTTTGGAAGTCGTGCCACTTGGGACCCTGGAGGGGCTTTCCGCAGAAAAATGTGGTTTTGTTCCTCAGCCGGCCGTGCTGGGAATTGGAATCAATAGCGCAGAAGAGTTTTTGCATCATGAGTTCTGATCCAGTGACAACACCATTATCACGCGATCAAGAAACTTCAATCGGAGATAGATACTGCGTGAATTCACTGAATCGAAATAGTTCTTTAGACGTAAAATCATGAACCCATTGATATAACCAACTAAAGATAGTTAGAAGATATTTCCCAGTGAGAACAACTTTGTAGATTATCAAGTAGTTCTTCTCTTGGCAGGCTCTAAGAAAAAAGTTTGCTAGAAAGAAGACTGTAGATTATCTTCGGTTATAAAATATATAGTTGGAAACCGTAAGGAATATTAGATGATATAATTTGTTCTTATCTTATACAAGGGTTTTTTCTTTTGCAATTGTTTTGATACTTTCATTTTTTATGCATTAAGAGAATTTCATGTATATTTCGATATAGATTATCTAGCAGGATGATGTCTGTCGTGCTGGTTGCATTCGTGATTTTGTACGCACTCTTGTAATTTGGTATTTTTCTGCGTTTCTTCTTGAAAGCCTTTTGTATGGTTGTCTCGCGTGATTAAGATCCTGGAAGTTTTAATATTACGCGCGCTTCTCTTCCGGTAATAAAATCTAAAAGATTTGGGTAGCTTTAGGAAATCTCGCGCAAATTTTGGTAGCTTTGGGGTGATATTCTCGTTGTAATCTACAGGTTTTGGGCGGGGGTTCTAGTGTTGTGGTTATTGAATGAAATCACGTATCAGTCGTATGTCAGGGTTCGTATCCGGATCTGGTTCTTACCCGGGTTCGTATCTTGGTCATATTTGGATTAGTGTCCGAGATCGCATTTGATTCGCGATCGGGTTCGTGTCCGGATTCGTATCTGCTTCGTGTTTGATTCGTATCCGGGTTCGTATTTGGTTCGTATCCGTATCGTGTCTGGTTTCGTATTTGGGTTATTAACCGGGTTCGCCTCTGGTTATTGTCGGTATTCGTGTCGGTTCGTATCTGGTTCGTGTCTGGTTTCGTATTTGGGTTATTGTTTGGGCTCGTGTTTGGTTTCGTATTTGGGTTATTGTCCGGGTTCGCGTTCGTGTTTGGTTCTTGTCCGATTCGTGTTTGGGTTCGTGTTTGGTTCGTGTCTGATTCGTGTCTGGGTTCGTGTGTGGTTCGTATCTGGGTTGGTAATCGGGTTCGTGTCTGGTTCTTGTCTGTTTTGTGGTTGGATCTGTATTTGAATTCATATTTGGTTTGGTATTCGGATATTT